ATGCCTGATCTAAAATACAAAGGAGGCAGCGGGCCAATAATAGGAGATTTCCTGATCAACATTGCATCAGTTTTGATTGGATGTAGTGTGAGTTGAATATTTCTACTCCACTGTAGCACATTGTCAACCATAACCAAAAACGTCACATACACTTTCACCAATAAAAGATAAGGTAGTGTCATCAGCATACAAATAGAGATCTCCAATATCTCCAACGCAGTCAGGAAGATCGTTGACAAAAATAGAAGTTAGCCTTGGCTCCGGGAGAGGTCCCCGTCGGACGTCAAAATTAACACAACCAGGAGAAGACTTGCAGCCGTTCGCAACAGTATATTGCGATCGGTTTGTGAAATAACACATAATCCACTCATGAACAGACCCAGATATGCCGACAGCGTAAAGCTTACGTCATAGTATTGGGTGCGAGACGGCGTAAAAAGCTTTTTGGAAATCAATGAACATTGCTACTTCCAACGCCTGTTTCCATTTCTCGGTCATAGTTAAAAGCATGGACTCTGTTGATAAACCTTCACAAAAGCCCCATTGCTTCCGAGTCTTGGCACTGCGATGAACAAGATGTTTATCAATAATGTGACACACCTGGCTTTCGAGAAACTTATTTGGGATAGATGGAAGAGATAGGTTTGTGATTTGAAACTTCCATTTTACAGCTTTTTTAAGGATTGCATTGATCTTCGCCATTTTCCTCAAAGCAGGGAAGCTATTAGAAGAGCCTGAAATAGCCAGACTAAGAGCAGAAATACCGTCAGGTCTAGGTACTTTATTGCTTTTATGTTCTCGAGATTAGATAAGAGTCTAGTGCAATTAAATTCAAAGTGTTGAATTGAAGAGGTGACTGTAGATACCCTGGTTCAGATTGCAAGCACTTGGAAACCTGTGAGATAATTTTTTTTTCAACATTTATGAAAAATAGATCGAGTCTCACGGCCTTGTCGTTGTTATTAAAAAGATCCTCATTATCCTTCCCTTTTAGGGTTCCGATTTTACAGAGCCGGTGTTTGCCAGTGGCATGAGACAGTCTTTCAGAAAGATTTGGACTTGGACTTGGACTCGGCATATCTCTCCTTATAAAAGGCCTCTGCTTCACGCAATAGTGTCTAGCCCAGGTTTCTGCAGTCAAAGGGGAATCATCACAGGCCCTCAGTAGTTTGTATCTCTTGTTCATAGCTTTACGTATTTCTGAATTTATCCAAGGCAGGGAGCTCGAGATCTTCCTAATTTAATTTTGGTATCACAGGGAGAGACATAATCAACTAGGATATCCCTATGCATACTTTCCCACGCCCAGGTGATGCCATCCACATTCTCAAACACAGAGCAAACCCACCAAAAGGCGTTTTTTCAGTTCATGCTTAAAATTCGCCTTGCTTTCGGTGAACTTCTTGTAATAGTACACTTTCTTTAAAATGGGTCGTTCGTTTTGTTTCGTTAACATAAAATCAGCAAAATCAAACTTGTGATCGGCAATATTACAATAGAAAACACCAGATATAAGTATTTTAGGAAAGTTATCGGTCAAGATCAAATAAAAAAGGGTACTGGAGGATGCACGAATCTTTGTGGGGCGGGTTACTAAATTTCGGAAGTTGAAGGCCTGACATATACGTTTCAGCTTAGGACCATTACAATTGGGAGAGAGCTGATCAACGTTAAAGTTACCAGCTTTCACAACATTTTTCCTTGTAAGCCACATTTTTCCCATAACACTGCGAAATTTTTCAAAGAATTATTTCGGTCAGGAGGTATTTCGCGGTTCGCTTGCTTCCCAAATTTAGCGGCTCTTTTTTAGCACAAGTCGCTGATTCAAACAGTTAAACGCTCACCGAGAGGGTTATCATCTTCCGATCTACATAATTTGCTGATTTAAGGACGTGTCTCTGTAAGAATCAAACATCTTGGGAAATGAAAATTTTCAACCCCTCTTCAAATTTTACACACAGTTAGGCACTCAGAGGGGATGCACAAAAATACCCTTTTTAAAGGTTGCAGCACTCTTGTTTCCGTCATTGTTGTTAATCATTTGAGCCACAAACTCGTTTAAACTTCTGAAGGGGTACTTGTAAAGTACTTGTCGGTAAACCTGTTGGGTTGGGGTCACCTCTTTCCAAATCAATTATTAACAAAGACAAAGTCCCTCTAGCATCTAGCAGATGATGTCTTCCTTCAACTAAAGCATCGATTGTTAAATTTCCATTCCCAGGAGTCAGGAAAAGCCGAAACACTGCCTTCAAATTTTGCAGAAAATTACGAAAACCTCGATCATTTCTCTCTCGAAAAACTACGTTCCTGGCCGCCATCTTGGAATTATTCTCAGGGGTTATGGGATTCCACTCAGCCCGCAATGAGATGTGGGATTTGCTGAGAAATTCGTGCATATAGGAAAGAATAATTGAAGAAAGGAATGAAAACAAATGAGACAGGTAAAATTAATTCCAGACTTAAAAGAAGCAAAAAATAAGATGTCAAATATGTAAAAATAATTCGAAGAGTGGATATAATTATTTATAAGACACCACAAAAATAACTGAACAAAAAGTTTTATTAATTCTGTATTAGTCAAGATAATTAATATAATTTTCACCAGAACGGGCCACCATAAAAATGACTATGTTGTGTTGTTTGCATGTGGCAAGGTTGGAGAGGTCCAGTCTTTTAATTGTGTGGGATGGGCAGTCTAGGATCACATTGGTAGTCTTTCGAGCAGTACAGCCAGATCTCCAGAATCCATTCTCCTTTCGTGAAGCTGGTCATAACACATTCATGATGAAACAAGAAAGATATAAATAAATCTGAGCATTAGAAATTGTAATGAAAGCAGCTGAGGTCACAATCAGAAGTAACTTTTTTTAAAGCTTGTCATTTTATACTACAAGTATTGACCAAGGCAGACAACCCACTTGGTTAACAGATCTGATATCAAAAGTGTCATGATAGAAACAGCTCGGCTTATTAATCATTCACAACACTGATTAAATATCGGGATATAAACGATCCCTAAAGATCACCGATCACTTCACGTGCACCTCCGTCAATGTAATCTAATGCATAACTTGCATTTATTGCAGAAAGATATACATCGGCGAAGCAGGCAGAAGACTAGGTGACCGATTCCGAGAACACCTTCGAGACGTGGAAAGGAATGACAAAGACACATCGAAACCAGTCGCTAGACATTTTAATTTACCTAATCATTCTAAGCAACATATGGCAATCTGCGGTCTTTCCTTACACCAAGGTAGCACGGAAAGCCGTAAAAATCTTGAACAAAAGCTCATCTTTCAAACCGGCAGTCTAAATCCCACAGGGATCAACGCACGCTTTTCAGTCCACTAATTTATTCTTGTTTTTCTCGTTGCCATGTTCCCACCAATCACGTAGCTCCATTTTCTGCCTTTAAAAGCACACACAACCCACACAATTCCTCTATTCGCTCCGACGAAGGGCTAACGCTCGAAACGTCAGCTTTTGTAATCGTTACGGCAGCCAATTTACCATTTCAACTTTGTTGATATATCCAAATTACTTTATTACTCCCACCGACGCAGCCCCAAACAGTTTCTTTCGAGACTATCAGCTTTTATTTATTAGTAATTGCATTTGTATATATTTTGTTTTCCAGTTTGATTTCTCTATTGCAATATTATAGCTATTTAACACAATAACTTATCTATTTAATGCAGGGAGGCTTTTTTTGCATGTTTTGTTTTGTTTTTTTTGAGAAACTACTCTTTCCATTTTAGTGTGGTAATTTCTCACATTAGTACTCTTAATATTGCAACCTGCAAGTGTACATCTATTTCTTCTCTGTGATTTGTTCTCACAAAATTTTCTTAATCTGCATGAAACTACCGCTCGCCTCGACTAGCTGTTGCTATCTGCAAGCAGTAAATGCCAAGCTGTAAATCTATAAGTATAAATGAATTGGAAACTTGAAATTGAATTGAATTGTGTGCCAACAACAACAACCCATGCATGTCCAGCTAAAGGTTTTCTACCTTGTCAATACAGTCTCCATCAAGCTGCACCATCTTCCCACTGATAAGAACAGTACTTACTGGAGAAATGGGGCATACAAGTTTGGCAGATAACCAAATGGGAGTATTGTACGCGTCCGCAAAATTTAATGATCCCAGGACCGCAAATGATCCCCAAATTGGACCACAAATGATCCCCACACCGAACCGCAAATGATCCCAACTAAAAATTAAGGAATGGCATGGATTGATATGAAAACACGTTTTATCATTTTAAAAGAAATATCCCATAGCTGATTTGTTTTCGATTTTAGCGGAAAATCTGTGACATTGCGTGACGTTCTGTCGAGTAACGCACACCATTTTAAGGGCAAAAGATTTTGTTGATTTCAAGACCTTTAGCGAAGTACAATAATTTTCTAAAGACATTTGTTGTGATCGTGGGCTGCAAATCTTCTGTTTAGTGTGTAAAACGTTGGAGAAAATGCTTAATCGGATTTCATTTCTGTTGCATATGATCAATGCTTCCGGTGCACGCGTGATTTCAGTGAAATCGAGCATGTAAAAATCACAAGGACAACGGAGAATTAAAATACACACAGTATGGTAGCTATAAAAAAAAACTTAAATTTCCGCAGTTGATTTCACGATTGCCTGTTGAATAAAAGTCTTTTGTTCAGCATTGTTGTTAAAAATTGTAACCAGAGTACCACATGTGTTTCTTCCTCACATTCATGGGTGATCAGCTGACTGGTGAGAGATGGGCGAGAAACGCCCAGGCTTCCATGGTGATGGGTTGAAATCAGATCAGGGGTCAAAGATCAGTTGACCCGTGTCACCACCGTGTGAGGACAGCTTCCAACGGTGATACATATAAGTACATTATGCCTGTTATAGATATTTTCAATAGATTTCTTTTCTTATGCTCTCTTCAAATAAAAAAGGCAAGTGAAGTGGCAGAGCATCTTTTAGACATTTACATTGTGCAAAGCGACCAGGGTCCGGAATTTAAGGGAGTAGTAAAGACTTTGTGTAACGCTAAACGTTCGCATAATTAAAAGCTCTGCCTACAGTCCCCAGACGCAAGGAAAAGACGAACGCTCACACAGAACGTGGAAAGAGAAAATAAAGTTTGATTTAACCAACAACGCCGATCTTAATTGGGTGGAGTATCTTCAACAGTACCAGCAACTCTATACTGAATCGCCACATCGCTCTCTTGGTCTATTTCTCCATTTGAAGTGTATTTCAGTGGAAAGCCAAATAGGTATCTAAGAAAACTGTTTCTTGGGGGAAAAAAGGAATATGAAGTTCCAGAAGAAAACCAAAACAGTTTTCAAATGGACGATAACCAGAGAGAACTAATAGAGCTAGAAAGGGAACGAGATTCTATCAGACAGAAAGCTCTTAACTCGTCTAATGAGGCTGCGCAGTATATGGTAAAGAGGGAGCTAAATCGAAATCCACCTTCACTCTATAACAAGGGAGAGACAGTTTTGCTTCGAATCCCTGTATCAAAGAAATTAGTCAAGGGAAAGAAAAACTCGGTAAAGAGCACCTGTGAGGGGTTTAACCATGAGGCCGATCATTCTATGCACAAGTATTTTATTTGCTATAATGATCCAGTGACACTAAAGAGCAAAAAGGGCTGGTTTAAGGTAGATGATGTTACCTCACTAACAAAAGAAGAAGAAAATGAGAGACAGGAAAGGGCAAAGGGTGACAGCAGCAAACGAAATACCACATGCAGAAATGGCGAGCGATTTATTAAAACTTGCATCAGCTTTTCGCAGTGACAATTTCCCCGAAGTTTTCTAGTGGATGGCAGACTGCCAGCAAGCTTTCGACAACAGCGAATTGCTAAAGACTCGGTTGAATAAGGAAGTGGGAAATGCAGGACTTACGTATCGCCAGCCCCCAACCCCCGCAGATGGGAACTGTTTATTCCATGCGATGAACGACCAACTAATTCGCCTAGGAAGAGTATCGTGCAGTGCCACAAAATTGCGATCTGACCTTGTAAATTATCTCCGAAGTAATCCATCCACTCCAGACGGCACTCATTTTAGTGAATTTGTCAGTCTTGGAGCATGGGACACCTATCTGCGAAGAATGACCATGGGTGACTGGATTGCCTTACAGGGCCTAATTAACATGCTGGAAATCTCGATGGCTGTTGTATCAAGCTTAGGAGAAACGGGGTTCAACGTCATTTGTCCAGCTGCTTGTGAAAACAAAGAGCAAGCCACTGGGGATATGGCCCTGCTGGGCCATGAAGCTGAGCTTCATTACCATAGCCTGGAACCAAGAGCATCGCAGAATTCCCAACTAGCAGCTGTTCAGGAATTAAAGCAGAAATACGGCGTGGGGAAAATAACTAAAGAAATTTGCCCCAGATGTGGAAGGCAGTTCGAGTGTTACTCACACGGCATCTTGCATAGCGGTGAAGGTGGAGCTTTACAGGTTTATTCAGACGACAGCGTTTTTTGCAACAGTTGCCTCCTGGAGGAGTTTTAGTTAGGAACTTTAGCAGAGGACACACATGGCAACGAAAAAGCAAGCAGCGCTGCATATGTTGGACAGAATCTTATTATCTAACACACTAAGTTCTTGTTATTGTTGCTGCCGTTGTTATCAGTCGTATGACGTTAATGGACTGATTAGATTTGATTTGAAGATACTGTAACACCAAAATAACAATGTTTAGCTAAGGAGAGATACGAGGCGTATGTTGTGTCATTAAAGAAAATCTGTTAAAGGATTCTGGCCTGCAATTCAACAGTTTTATTTTTCAGTTGTCATTTGTTGAATTAATAAAAAACTTCAGCCCAAAGTGTGAAAATGATGCTAGTTGCGAGCCATGATAATCACTGTTCACACCAATTCCCTATCCACACTATTTCAGCATCCATGCCATGCCCTATTTTTAGTCAGGATCATTTGCGGTTCGGTGAGGGGATCATTTCCGGTCCAATTTGGGGATCAGTTACGGGCCCATACAGTATGAAGAACCGGCTAATCATCAAAAGTATCTTAACATTAGATGAAAGGATTCCTAAAAGGAATACCTGGAAATAGAAAGAATATATCGAAAGAAAAATTCTTGTAAGGACTATCAACATCAAGTCATGACTTACATTAAAGAATCTGAAAATGTTGATGAAGAACTGAATTAAAGCAAAATCGGTCGGTCTCCAGAGAACCACAGTTTTTTGGCTCAGTAGAAATGACTCCATGATGAAACAGTGCTGAATGGAGAGGCCCCACAAAATGCTGGTTTGGAATCCAAGAAGGGGATCCAAGAACACCCAAAATTTAATTTAAACTGGTGTAAAAAGTCTTTCTCATATAATGTAAGTAGATTGTGGAACAGACGTCCTGTTGAGATCAGAGAATATAATTCAATGAGCACTTTTGAAGAATCACTGTATAAATATAATTTTTGTTAGCTTCTATTTAATGAAATTATCAGTACTAGTTAGAACTTTATAATACATGTAGTCTC